CTCCAAATAAAATTTCTAAGCTTAAATTACAAGATTATAACAGCGAATGGACATACTATGGAAGGAATGGAGATCTTGGAGAGGAAAAACTTTTGGCAACCACCCAACGATCTCGGCAGTGTTTCTTCCAAAAATGGTAAAATCATCCGAAAAAGTACGCCCAAAATGTTCTACAATAGTACGATCAATATGATACTATCAGAAAGTGAACGATTTGATAAGGAATGAGATTTACAGCGATATCGTTCAACTGGTAAAAATGTCAAAATTGTAATTTCTGATTTGGTGGAAAAGAGCTACAAAAGTTTACGTCTAGTTTAGGACAAAACTATGTGTTCCGTAGATAAGATAGATGAGCAAACGTTTGACGAGGCAATGTTGACACCATTCCAGTTAGCACTACAATGACCAGATGTGATAGCACTCATCGCTACGTCTCGTTCAACTCCAATGATTGAAACCGCTATTTACAAAGCCAACACAAAATCGATTCAGTTTATTACTCAAATACTAACTATTTTGGAGTCCAGCTCCTCATTTACATAGATATTTTCACTATCATTTGACTTCACTACATGCCGTTTTCACAGTTGACGTATACGACGGTTCAGATAAGATACCTTGAACAACCACTTTCTATAAACCTTGGCATTCATACATAACATATGGAAGTCTTAGGAATTGCCCTTGTTGAGTTGACGCGAGGCTGATTTCAGTTGCACCTGCTGTTCTCGTTGTGAAACTATGAGACTCATACCTCACAAAACGGCTGTGTAGAAGGCGAAGTCGTCGAAATATCAGCCATTGAACCATATGACAACAACGAGATGAACAACAATTGATCAGCAAGTGTAGCCCCTTCAGGCTTACAAATGGAACATGTTGAGATTTCCAGAACTTTCGAGAAAAATACAGACGATTATTGATGCGAGAGGTAGAGGTGACCAACCGAGCAACAGACCACCCACGGCCTGAGCGGAGTGCTTCATATTGATTGTGGCAACGAGGCAGCAAATAACATCAATGGCGATATCGCCAACGTAGATTGAAAGAATTGCGAGTAAGTCATGTCGTTGTCCAGGCACTGTTCCTTTGCTCGTTAGGGCTGAGTGTCCAGAAAGGTCCTCTTGAGGCCCTCATCACATCTAAGCTTTTGTGAGTAATTACAGCGCTATCTTCTCAAGTGAACGTATCCATCAGGTCTTTCCAAGATTAAAGTCTGATTTGCAATCTATTTGTCTTTTATATGATCTCTATGGCGTGTAATGGGCATTTTAGTTTTGTCCGTTTCCAATGACGCCTCGCTGTAGTCGAGATTTCATCGCCCGTATCGTAGACGGGAGCACCCAGTGTGCGGGGTACTAAGGCAGAAATTCTGCTGGAGTAGTCACTGTTGTTCCTTCCGAGATCCGAGGCCAGCCTTCCTAGCGGAACCCTCCTAAGGTTGTCACCACAATAAGCAGTCACCGCTCCATGTACATCAGAAAAAGATTTCCAACCTTGCAAGTTGTGTATTGGCTGTTGCAGTAGAGTATCGAATTTCCGGTTAATCTTTAGTGAACAGTGGTTACCAACTCGGAGTAGAATGCTCAATTTATACAAATTTTGCCACGCGGGGCTTTCACATAAGCACAGAAACAACTCACGTTTGGGTTATAACTGTTTTCAGAAATAATAACAATATAGTACAGGCAATGTGACGATATGTAGCTGAGGGAATAGGCACGAACGAAATTGGGTGAATAACTGGAACACTGGAACTATGGAACACGTGCAAAGTGAGGTCAGGCTTGTATACGAAATGACGACGAAGGCACAATGTGATAAAGCTACACTATGGGATAGTCACCAAGGGTTACAGGCGCGTAAGCGATGGGAAGAAAGGTTTAGATCACAGAAAGCTACAAGTGCATACTTTGATGTGAAGGGTACAAAAAATGTCTTGCATGTGAAAGCGATGCTATCGCATCAAGGAAAAGATCGTGGGACTAGCTTGAAGTTGAAGTTTATGTGAAATAGATGCTACAGGATCAATGAAAAGATAGTAGGAGAGCAATTGGTTGGTTTGAAGTAGAATTCATAAGCAACCATATGACAGTCTGAGCCGAAGGAAAGCCATTAAAGGAAATCTAATTGAGAAAGAAAAGCTAATTTAGGAAGTATACGTCAATATAGAAATGGGAACTATTCGTGGAACAGTTTCTATAACTTGCTGGTACCAAGACATTGGTGAATCTCCGTATGGTGAACTGTTAGCTGAGTTTACGTGTGAAAACGTCAGACTTCTTTGCAGCTGCTTTGTTGTGGTAAAGCACCGTCCGGTTCATCTCAGTCCATCACGCAGGGACGTCCTCCAGCCACACTGAGGCGGTCAACCTCTAGGAGGAAAACATGAAAGAAAAACTTAGATACATTTTAACTTTACGAAGATGAAGTGGAAAGCTAGTAAAACCTTGATAGGGTGAAGGATAAATTTTTTTCTTTTGCATGCAAGGGTTAGATCACAGACACGAGGTGTATAAGAACATGGTAACACACTAAGAAATGCAAAGAAAATACGTAGGTTAAGGAAAATCAGATCATATGAGGTAGTATCAAGTAATGCAATGATCACCCAGAAAACCGGTGCGTCGTGCCTGGTGCAACGACTCACGAGATTTTAATGGTCATTTCGGGTCACTCCGATTACGCACAGTGCGATGGACCTGATGCACGAAAATGACCGGGGTCTCGAAATAGCTGAACATTTGCTAATATAGCTACAGAATGGTATTGTCAGGTTATATTGTTCTGAGCGAAGTTAGAATAACAGTCAGATATGAAGGCATTATAAGAAATACCAGCCTTGGGAGAGCGATTGCTAATCACTGCAGTGTCCGGTAATCTTGTCATTGAGCATGCAATGATATGTTATCTCTGTTGTGTGCAAAGTGATTTTCACTTACGTGCGCGCAGTGTACCTCTTCTTCGAGGACTCTTTTATGTAAGGGGGTCCTCCCCGAAGAGGATTGGCTCAGACGAAAGTCACCGTACAACTGACTAGGCTGCAATGTCGAAACACGTGTATTGCACTGTATAAGTACGGATGAAAGACCTCATGAAGGACTCAAAAATACATTGTCAGATTTCTATCGTTTTGAACAAGGTCTGAAAAAACAGTTGAATATGAAGATATTCTGATTGTGTGTTTTCTATACGGCTTGCGAAAGATCTCTATGTACTGCGCTACGCCATCCTGGCTGTCCAAAGATTTCACGAGCTCCTCTGGCTCAGTCGTGTCAAGGAGCTCTTCAAGCCGGTGGAAATGGTAAAACGCTCTCACTCATGCTTTAGCCATAGTTCAGTAAGTATGTAATAATTCACAACTATCGATTAGCTAACCGACATATAAGTCGTGAAACATTTTGATTTATAGAAAGGAGAAAACTAGTCAGTTGCTAATCGCAGGTGTTTGTGAAAACACTGCTGAGTATATAATTCAAAGCCTTCGACATTGATCAATCCCTGAGAAACGTCTCATGCCTTCGACTTCATCAAACCACGTTAGAGGCGACCAAATGCGTATCTGCCCCACATAATCCAGCGATGAATAATCCAGCGCTTACAAAAATTAGCCACCACACATTTTGTGAATAGTCTAAGGTATCTGGGGGGCTCAACTAAAAACAGTTTTACCTTGCAAATTTTATCGAAAAAGTTTTTATTCATCAAGAAAACGGAATTGAAGAATTGTATTTGAAGAAATTTCTATTATTTCACTGCATATTTCGCAGTATAGCAAACCTCCCAACGGAGTTTTGCTATCTTTTCGGGAATTACATGACAATTTAGGCAGCGCAAATGGTCTACGAACTTAGAGAGCAAGTGGTATCGCAGAGGTTCGAGGACCTTAGACAGAAATGGTCCAAGTGACAAGGGCGGCACCCAGCTGCCACCAACCTCAACAGTCGTTCGATCGCGGGTCATCATCCGAACGGTCGTCTGACATCACCCGGACCACCTCACCTCAGTACATTGTCGATCCATTATTGCTCTCTCTAAACAACCTCGTTGTCTTGTAACTAATTACTTTCATAAGGTTGCATTCATACAACTCAGATGAATTCTATAGATTTGTGAGCGGAACATAGTACTTCCGTGGCGGAGCAAACTCACTTTGGCTATGCTCGGCCCATCACCGCGGATTAGGGATTCTGCCCATATCTAATCACTAGCGACCCCACTGCTAACACTATATACTCACCCACTGGATCCCGCCGTCGGTGTTCTACCAAATGGGCTCCGCTGCTTAGTCATGCTTCGACAATTACGAAACATCGTCAGTTACAATAACATTGTCACTTGTCATAACAATGTCAAATGCAATAACATGATGATATGCAATAACATGATCACTTACGATGACATCTTCAATTACAATAACATTGTCATCTGTCATAACAATGTCAAAAAGCAATAACAATGTCATATGCAATAACGTGATCACTTACGATAACATCATCACTTACAATAACACTGTCAGCTACAATAACACCACTTGCCATAACACTGTCTTCGATACTCCTCATCAGTCGGTCATCCATATTGACTTACGCATATGTTCGCATAACGATATGTCGTGATCATATATATATATATATATATATATATATATATATATATATATCTATATATATATATATATATATATATATATATTATTATTATTATCATTTTAGTAATGCATGTATATTATAGGTTGTTTTGGTATAAATCCATATAAAGGATTTAAACTCTTCTCTCTTGTCCGTTGCGAGACACAAATCGGCAGCGGATCACAACACAAAACCACTGAACCTTCACCACACGCAGTGTTATGATCAATTATATATTCCTAAGAGAACTGAGTGGTGAGCAAAAACACGACCTCAGACGGGAATCGAACCCACGTTTCATCCTATCCGGGGACGCGTGCTCTACCACTACAGCATTGAGGCACACTGAGATGGTCGGGCAAATGTGCCTCAGTGGTGTAGTGGTAGAGCACGCCCCCCCCCCTCCCGGATAGGATGAAACGTGGGTTCGATTCCCGCCTGAGGTCGTGTTTTTGCTCACCACTCACTTCTCTTAGGAATGTATTCGAAGAATTTGTAACGAATTGTGAGCCGATAGTGAGGAGCTTGAAACGTCGACAGTGGTGCAATTTTTTTTTTACCCACATTCGCTTCCTTCCTTTACATTTAATTTCAATTTCTGTTCCATCGGATTCTTGATCTGTCTCTATGAAATGCCTGATGCATCATGGTAATATTGAATTGTAATCATGGCATGCTGGCTAATCTGTGGCAGCTCTTGCGGTGAAGTCAATGTGAGTCATTTCGGCCGAAGTGCACTCGGCAAATAAACATGCAGTATTTGTTATGCTTTTTACACCACATTCCACTTTTCCTGTATCTTTTACTGATAATTTTTTCACTTCGTCTGAAAATAGACAGAATGTTATGTCAGCTTCGATATCATATTCTTGCTGCTTGAAAGAATCATGAATACATTTCCTTTGGTCGCTGAGAAAAAGGAAAGAATCCATAACAGTTGACGCAAGCAAGAAGTCAGGCAGTCATTTCTGCGACATTGTTGGAGTTGCACAGCCCTTATACATGCTGCTCATTTGGTTCCTAGTCCATGTTGAAACACGGATCGGTTAAGTTATCGTATCACCTCTATTTGTTGGTTAATGTAAGAGTCCGTTAAAAAGATTCATGAGCAAAAGGCAGCACTTTCACCGCTAGCAACACTGTATTACAGAAAGTAATTTTGGAGAGCTCCACTCTGTCAATACTATCCCTAAAGACGCCCGATGCGCAAGTTCTGCACATCACTTTACATCAATGAATATATTTATAACATCATACCACCGCTAGAAGCGGTCAAATAAAAGGATATCTATTTGGTTATCCATAGAAGAGATTCCACTATGGCGTCATCAATTCTTCGAAATGCGCACAAAATCTCGGCGCTCTTCAGGAGAAGTATTGCAACAGAATCAGCAATCATGATACTCATGGCAGTTTAGTGGATCAAGACAGGCATGTTCATATCACTGAGAGATGCACGATTTTTTAAATTCCTGAGGACTTAATCCATAAGAAGGTCCTTATTACTAAAATGTACAGAAAAATCAGACATACCTTCATAATGAGATTTCGATTTACTTTTTATCTTCTCAATAGCTCAATTAAATTTCGCTATCTTTCCACCTGATCACTCAGTTCACTGCACATGATAAACCCATAGAGGGTGTGTTGCAACTATGTTCCGCAGATGCAATTGCATGAGTTCAGACATAAATATATTCAGCTTTATTTCAGAGGGACAATGCTCAGGTGCCCCTGCCCTTGAGTAGCTATCTCCTGGATGATGATAGGTCAACACCCAATGAAAGTGAGACGATGTGTTAGCTGTCATAAAAATTCGTAGATGCTATGATGCCAAATCTCCTGGAATATATTGACTTTATCAAGACTGTTTCAATGATCACCAGAGAAAGGATTATAGAGTATGCATAACATGCAAATAGAAAAGACTCTGAAGTAAAATTTTCGAGCACAAATTTTGCTATATTAATGAAGAGTTATGCTCATAAGCACAGTGATTATGTAGTGTTCACAAAGGTACATTCTACAATTACATTGATAAATTGGCATTGTGCTTACAGCCAGTTCTCTATGTCACGGAAGATGCCCTGACAAATCTCCTGTGTGATTTGCTAGCCTCTAGCAGTGATAATTTGATCGAAGCCACGAATTTCACGAATTTCGGCGTTTACCACAACAGGCATGCCGGAAATACTAGCCTCATAACTCGAATCAGACGGATGAACTCATATAAAAATAAGGATACCAGCAAATCAAGAAAAATAAAAGAAATCTCATTTTGGCATAATTCACGCTAGGTTCTGTTTGAGATGCGGGGTTGAGTGACTGCAAAAGCATTAGAAGTAAAGGTGTGCTGGGCAAAGTGGACAGCGGAAAAAATGAGCCACATGTGAGTCAGTAGCGGTGTCTTAATCCAGAATTCATGCCTAATGCGTTACGTATCCAATATTCCAATGAAAAAAAATTGGGGGACTCAAGTAGCAGCTGAACTTCCTACTAGAATCTAAACTATTTTTGTTGTAAAAAGTCGCAACCACACCCACTTGCGCACTCTTATTTGCTTCATTTTATTCAGTATCGGCTCACAGGAAGTCATCGGTTTCTGTAAATTGTAAACAGCACAAATCCACTCTTTTTGTGAAAACAGAAGGCTAGATTGCTTTCAGGAAGCATTAATCCAGTGATCATGCGTATAGTATCTGTATGACATCTCTCTTGGGTGTGCTTTCAGCTTCTCCTTCCCTATTCATTCGCAAATACCTGAAAGGCAACGTGCAAAAAACTCACACGAGTTAGCCTGATTATGTGTGTCATGGTTAAGACAATATGAATACTCGCGTGTGATGTAGTGTGAGTTGTCACGCAGTATGTCCGTATGCGAAAGAGGTATTGTTTGAGTGAATGTGAAAGATCTATCCTGATTTGATATTTTAGCAAGCAGAGAAAGTTATTGATCATTCGCAGTGAAGGTCATCTTCTGTCTCTTCCAGTGCGCTTAAACGTAAACTTTTCGGGTGTAAACTTGAAGATACTCACCTTGATGTTTTAATCAGAAAAGTTCTTAAGGATTGATACTCTTCTCCGAAGAGGAAGTTCTTTTATTGTGTTCAACAAAGCCTCATAGATTCCAATGCAATTTGGCGTTTTCTTTTAACTCCATGTAGTGCTGCTATGTTGCTGCATTATCAAGCTTACATGAGGATCATTCAAATTCGTTTTAAGAAATCAAGCAACTTCATGTAAAATTGACAAGATATTGACTGTTCATATGGAAATCAAATTGAAGTCTTGTTATTAATACTTGAGCCTTGATTGGTACCCCCTTGAAAACCGGCATTTCGTAATCAAATTGACTGATGGCAGTATTACGATTATGCTGGTTAAGGCGATAGCTTTATTGACATGATACTAGTGGGAGAGATATTAAATCAGAAATCGATGAAAGAGCTGTACAAATTCAGGAATACGACAGTTTTGCAACAACGTTCACTTTCTTTTTCCAAGAAATTCTGGAGGTTGTGCTGTAATTTTTTCGAAACTTTATAGAAACACTTAGGCAACTTGTTCAAGTACGAAGATGTTGTTCCTTTCGTCAAAAACTCTACACTTGTGCGCTCTAAAGCTGCTGCCGAACGCAGACGTGGGGATATATATATCCTTGTGATATATATATATATATACATTTATATCCTTGTGATATATATAAATACATATATATATATATATAATATATATATATATATATATATATATAAAAGGATAAAGGATAAAGCTCTCGGCGTTGATCAATCCCTGAGGGATGCGCCATGCATTCGACTTCAATTTATAATTTCGTTTGAGGTGATTGAATGCATATCTGGCCTTTACAATGACTCGCGGTGGCCTCCCGCTGAACCGAGTCAGTGCTGCTTATCCTCCCAGACAAATCTGAGACCTTCTGACAAACTGTCTGGTACCAATTTACTGACCCCGGAAGGATGGATGGCTTGGTGAGCCATGAGCGCGAGATCGAACCATTGACCTCGTGTGCGACGCAGAGCACCTCTAACCACTGCGCCATATGCGCTCACATATATATATATATATATATAGATATATATATATATATACTTATATTTGTCAGGGGAATGAGGCCCTTGTTTGTTACTGTTTTTGGCATTTTGATACCCAACGTATAGCTTGCCAGGCTCTAAACGTGGGGGCTGGGCACTCACGAGTAGCTTGCCAGTCTCTCTCGGAGCGGGAGGAGCTTATTTGTTGGAGGCGACTCCTAACCGCCTCCCATGTGCTTCCCAGCCGCTTGATTGCAGGCTTTTGGCCGACTTGACTCGTAGAAATAGAGTTTTTGTCAAGTCGGCGCGCAGAAGCAGGGAGCTCGTCCTCTGAATCCACGTGCGTCTGTGGGAAGCACACGGTCGCTTTTGGTTCGCTTTTTATTCCCTATCCACCACCTGAGGACGCGCCACGTGCTCTCGCGACTGACCGGGCGGGATCCCTCAAAGAGGGAGGTCCGTGGTTCTAATGCCCCATTCAAGCTCAACGGAACGACAATCTCCGAATGCTCCAGTTACCTCTATCTGGGTCGTGAAATCAACATGATGAACGACTTAGCCCCAGAGTTGAGCAGGAGGAAACGAGCGGCTTGGGGAACGTTTGAGAGCATCGAAGATGTAGTGAAGAGGACAAAGAACATCCGACTCCGTGCCCACCTTTTCGACTCGACAATTATCCCTGCCCTAACGTATGCAGCAGAAACCTAGTCGCTACGTAAGCAGGATGAAAGATCACTTGGAGTTATCGAACGCGCAGTCGAAAGGTCGATGCTAGGAGTATCCCGTATTTCACAAATGAGAGAAAGGATCCGAAGTTCCGACCTACGTCAACAATCGAAAATCAGAGACGCCGTTCTACACGCCAGGATATCGAAAATAAGATGGGCCGGACACGTGATGCGCTTCAACGACAACCGATGGACGACAGCCGTTACCGACTGGATTACTCGGGACGTTAAGCGGTCTAAAGGAAGACCACTGACCCGTTGGTCCGATTTCTTCACGAAAGCGATGGAAGAAAGATATGATGCTCAGCGAATCCCTAGAGCGACGAGGACCCACTGGGCTACTCTTGCACGCGGTATTGAAGATAGAAGAGTTGCTGGTACCCGCTCGAGTCACTCGACGATCAACGGGACGACAGGTGATACAGGTGATATACTTATAATGTACAATAAACATACATATAATGTATAATAAATTTATAACAAATATATATGTAAATATATACACATAATAAGTATATATATAATATATCTATGACATCGACTGATTTTAAAACCTCGCCATAAACATTCATAATGACATGTTTTGAGCTGGTAGGTCTAATACTATGTAGGCGCCCTATTTCGTTTTGAGCGGGTTTGTAAAAGAGCGGTCGATAGCAGAGGATG